TTTATATTATCTATCTGGTCACGGCTGAAGTCGGAGCCTACTGTCCCAATTTTCACAATCTAGGCTGAATGGCCCTACCTTGAGATCACGCCATATCTTCCCCTCATTTCAGCAACATCCCCTTATTTTTTGTTTATAAATAGGGCTTCATTCCTTCCCCCACTCGTCGCCTGTGAATAGAACTGAGTCTTGGTTATCTGAGAACAAAAAAGTTCGTTACAAATCCTTATTCATAACTCTCCTGGTGTGTGATATTTTATTAATCACTCCTCATATCATTGACGGACTTGGAGAGAGAATGAACTAAAATTCGACAGATCACAGTAATTAATTAATTAATAAAGCAATTTGACCGAGTTAAAAATCTTATCTAAAATAGTAAGATCTACATGCTAAGGACAATTGTAGATAGTTAAGGGATCAAAAGCTCATATTAGTTTGGAGTGAAGAATTCAATACTGTTCGACTAATCAAGATTAGTTTAATTGATGTTCAATTATTTTTTTTAAATAATTAAATTAAAGCAATATGTATACATACTAGGCCTTAATTATTAATACAAACAATTCACACCTACCCCATAAGCAGCAGTCGAAGGCCCCTGAACTCCAGAGGCCAGATTCATCTGCGAAAGGTATACTGCTAGATCACTGTTCCCAGTCAGGCCAAGTACTTGAAGACCAGACTGGCCGACTGAAGGTCCAACAAGCAAAGTGCTGTCTCCACCAACACTACTTATGCCCCTGTTAGCAGATGTACTATTTTCTAAAGCCTCCGGAACTGGACCCGCTGGCAAGACTTCATCGTTCACGGCCGAAGAGACTTCGCGAGCAGACTGGCCAAACTGGCTAAGGGGAAACGCCACTGGCAAAGGTGTAGGGTATAGGAGTATATCTCCAGAGCCAACAGGCTTCAAATTCGAATCTTTCTGCTTACTAGAATCACCAGAGTGTAGGGTTGACGAAGAATTGGCTACTGACTTATAATGGGAAGAGGCAACAACAGTTTCAGAAGTTGATCGAGGTAGGATACCGAGTAAGCCAGGCTCTGACGGTGCCGTAGATAGAAGGGTGGCAGATAATGATTCCGGACTAGGGCCATCAACTCCAGGCGCTGAGGTCAACAGGCCTGTACTAGTTGCATAGCTGCCTCCACCAGCATCAGAGGTTAAGTTAACGACCATAGGTTCACTTCTGAGCACCGGATCTAGAATTGGCGTGGCTGAAGTTGTTGAAGCCAACCAGCCAGGATGGTATCCCTCTGGAGGAGGGCCAGACCATATTTCTATGAATTAAAGAAAACATGGTACAAAATGAAGTGTTTACATTACTTTCTGGTTTCCCAGCATCGTACCAGCAACTTGGTACATCTTTAGACGATCCACGGTTGGACGCTGGGAATTAACATAAATACAATGACAGAGGACTCCAAACAAGATGTGTTCAACTGGTTTGCCCTTAAAAGATTAAGCTATGAAAACGAAGCCAAACCACTTCTAGACAGTGAAAAGAGACTGCAACCAAAGCAGAGGCAATGCCATCTTTGTCTTCACATCTAATTTTGTTTATATATTTGTTTATTAAGAAAGGGAATAATTTGTGTCATGTGCCCTCAGATCACCGTGATCCTCTTCGATAAATATCTAGAACACAATGCAAGATTACTACTTTTTAGATAACCTTACACTACATCACTTAGCCTATCTAAATACACATTATTTAGGCTTAAGAAATTAGAAATATCTCTCATTTGGGTCGTGTAGAAAGATTGTAGACGTCATAGTCTGTACAATTTTAGTATGGGATACGCTTATAGGAACCTTAGGTATACATAGTAAGTCAAATAAGCCAAGATTGATTGCAATAAAAAATTTATAGAATGGAGAGCAAGGACGTATATACATAGGGGTGAAGTATATGGACATTAAAAAAAGAAAACATAGATTATTAGATAAGGTATTAAACTACCAAGGAAAAAATTATGTGGCTTCACAGAATGAGAATAAAGATGATTAAAAATAAAAACCGTTAGGTGATACGGCCGAAACAATGTAATGATGCAAATGTGGCGCAATAGATGCTTGAAATAATGCAATGAAGATGCAAAAATAAAATTACAGAATAAGAATATGCTCTGAATCATTAAAATTAATCTCATGCCTTGATCATTCATCTTAGCATATATTCTTGTTACTGTCTATAATTAGTCGGTATTCAAAAAAACGATGTTCTTCAAGGTTAACATAAAGCATCAAAATATATGGATATGATAAATTACAAAAATCCGAATCTACTGATAGTTTAGAAACCGAATCAATCAAAATAATGTAATGATATCCTATTGATTGGTGGGTCGCACTATTCTCTAATGTTACTTCGAAAGTCAGAAAAATATAGGAAATCTTTTTAGATGAGATATCAAGAGAAAAACCTATTTAGCATTGCAGTTAGACATAATTAAGATGCTTACCAGGTCTCAGACCAGCTGGAAGAGTGACTCCT